GGACAAAAAATAGAAATGCCAAAAGCAGGTGAAACAATAGAATTCAAAAACCATTTCAAGAAACTTAAAGCTCCATTCGTAATCTATGCCGACTTTGAATGTTTAACTGTGCCAATTGATGTTAAAAGCAAATCGGCAAAAGCTAAAACTACATCATATCAAAATCATCGTCCGTGTGGTTTTATGATTAATGTAGTCAATGCTATAACCGGAAGTAGTGAGCCTTACTTATACAGAGGTGAAGATTGTATGGATGTGTTTGTAAAAAGAATGCATAAAGTTAAATGGGATGTTTTTGAGAAAATGAAGGAGGACAAAGACCGTATTGAAACCGAGGAGGACTGGGAGGACTTCAATAATGCCACTAACTGCTTCATTTGCGGAAACAAATTTCAGGAAGGTGAAAAGAAGTGTTGGGACCATTGTCACTTTACGGGGCAGTATAGAGGTTGCGCCCACGAGGACTGTAATCTTCGATTTAGTATGAGATATTATAAAATCCCTGTGTTTCTTCATAACCTTAAAAACTATGATGCCCACTTAATCATCAACAAGGCTCACGAACTGAACAAGAATTCTAAAATAGAATGTATCGCTCAGAACAGCGAAAAGTTTATAACCTTTGGTTTTAAAAATCTTTGTTTCAAGGACAGTTTCAGTTTCTTATCTTCTTCGTTGGATAAGTTGGTAAAGTTGAGTAAATATGAGGATGATAAAAAGCGTGAGAATTGGAAGAACAATTTCAGATACAGCGTTAGAAACCCGTATGTTAAAACCGATGAAGATTTGAATTTATTAACTGATAAGGGTATTTATCCCTATGACTACTTTGATGATTTTGAAAGATTTAAGGAAAGGGCTTTACCACCGAAAGAAGCGTTTTACAGTAAATTGAGTGAAGAACATGTAAGTGATAAAGATTATGAAAGGGCACTGAAAGTATGGAAGCACTTCGGGATTAGAACACTCGGGCAGTATCACGACTTGTATTTAAGAACTGATGTTTTACTACTGACCGATGTGTTTGAAAACTTTAGAGACTTGTGTATGGAATACTACGGTTTAGACCCCGCTCATTATTATACATTGCCAAATTTCGCATGGGACGCAATGCTTCTAAAAACTGGTGTTGAAATAGAACAATTGCATGAACAAGAAATGTTTGAGATGGTTGAAAAGGGAATGAGAGGTGGTATGTGTCAAGTCAGTCATAAATTAGCAGTGGCAAATAATAAGTATATGGAGGAAGCATATGATGAGAACAAGCCATCAAATTATATTAGTTACTTGGATGCTAATAACTTGTATGGTTTAGCAATGTCCCAGAAGTTACCGCTAAAAAATATCAAGTGGGCAAAGAAAACGCCCAGTGTTTAAAAATGGAATGAAAACGATGAGTTTGGTTATATTATGGAAGTTGATTTGGAATATCCCGAAACATTGCATGACTTCCACTCTGACTATCCACTAGCACCTGAAATAATGAATGTAAATGTGAATATGCTTTCCGACTATCAAAAGCAAGTCTTCAAAATATATTATGATGGTAAAAGTCCCAAGGACGAGAAAACGAGTAAGTTAATATTAAATCTAAAGGATAAAGAAAAATATGTGGTTCATATCAAGACTTTACAGTATTATTTGAAAATGGGAATGAAAATGACAAAAGTCCATAGGATAATAAAATTTCAACAGAGGGCATGGTTGAAACCGTGGATTGACTTCAACACTGGTAAAAGGAAAGAAGCCAAAAGCGATTTTGAGAAAGATTTATTCAAATTAATGAATAACGCGGTGTACGGAAAAACTATGGAAGACAAACGAAACCATATGGATTTTGAATTAGTTGATAATGAGGTAAGATATGAAAAATGCGTGAATAATCCAACATTCAAAAACAGATTTATTATAAATGAAAATATGGTAGGTGTTGAAAAAACTAAATCGAAGCTGAAATTGGATAAACCCATTTTCTTAGGAATGAGCATTTTAGATTTAAGCAAACTACATATGTATAAGTTTTACTATGATGTATTGAAAAAGAAGTATAATGAAAACATCAAATTGATATATACTGATACTGACAGTTATGTAATTCAAACAATGACTGATGATGTTTATAAGGATTTCAATGAGATAAAGCAACACATGGATTTTAGCGACTACCCTGTTGAGCATCCATGTCATGACAAAACAAATAAGAAGGTCTTAGGAATGTTTAAGGACGAAGTGAATGGAAAAATCATTACTAAATTCATTGGATTAAAACCTAAATCATATGCCTTCACAATTCATGGTGAGGATGATGAACATAAGAAATCAAAAGGTGTAGTGAAACACAAGGTGAAGAAAGAACTGTCATATCAGAACTACCACGAAGCATTATTTCAAAACAAAAAGCATGAAATCACATATAACTTCATCAGAAGTAAGTCGCATCAAATATATTCAATGTCTCAAGTCAAGCAATCTCTCAGTAATTATGAAAATAAAAGGTTTTATAGTGATGCTTTCACTTCATTGCCATATGGGCATTATTCCATAAAATAATTATCTAAATAGTTCTATTAATATGAAATTATTAGAATTATTTTCAGGGACAGGCTCGGTTGGTCGGGTTGCTCGGGATTTGGGTTTTAGTGTCATTTCCATAGATTTGAAAAACATGCTGATTGAACCCTTCTCCACGTCAGTCTTCAAAGTGTCTCATACGAACCCTTCTCCACTTCAACCTTCAAAGTTTCTTGTTTGAACCCTCCCTGCAACAGTAAAACACAAAGACCCAAAACCGCAAAACCCTTCCCATCCCAGAACCTAGAAGACGACAGCAACGAAGGCGATGAGAGCGATGTCTTCTCAACCTCAGAGCGTGGCAAATGCGGAGACTAACACAAGAAAAGGGGACACACGTAGATACTTTGACTCTGGACACTTTGGGAACAGCCTCATCACCTCTGACCTCGCCTCCTCAACAGAAACCTCCTGCACAGCCTACCCTGTCAAACTGCACGACTCTTGTTTTCAACAACTGCATTGGGAAGGTATGTGTTAGGAATGGAAACTGCTGTCCTACACCATTCCACAAGCAAAACTGCACCTAACTGGCAGTCGTGGGATTTGCGACTGGCAGTCGGTAATTCTGCGACTGGCAGTCGTGGGATTTGCGACTGGCAGTCGGTAATTCTGCGACTGGCAGTCGGTAATTCTGCGACTGGCAGTCGGTAATTCTGCGACTGACAGTCGTGGGTTTTGCGACTGATTGCTCAGAAACAAGTCTCACATCAAGACACATGAGTTGTCAGAGACCTGCATGTCCTCGTTGGCTTCTGCCCTTGACAACGCCTGTCTTTGGCCCATGCGAAGGTTCATCACGGCGTCGATGTCTCTGACCACCTTTTCCAGCGAGTAGTTCAAAGCCCCACCCTTCAGACGGTGATAGTGTCGCCCGAACTCTTCCAGAAGGAGCTCCGTCATCTCCACCTTGGCATTGTGCAGGTGGGGGATACTGTCCTTGACCAGTCCCACCTCACGCCAGAGAAGCTCTGAAACTGTTGCCAACTTCTCCTCTGAAGTCTTGCCGTCTCGCAACTCAAGAACCGACTTGATGTTCTGGAGGTGGCTGTCCTCAACCTGCTCCAAAACCATCTTAATGATGTTGTCGCCCGTGGATGTCCTGACCTTCATCCTCACAATCTGCTCTTTGATGCTCGTCAGCATCGGTTGGATGAAGACTGGCACAGTGTCGGAGACCTCGTCCTCTCTGTCCTCAACACGCTTGTGGTAAATCGCTCGTGAGTTTTTCAGGAAGGACTTCAGCACCTGCTCTTGGTTCATGGGACGACTACCACCTCGCAAGACACCACCCTCGCCCACGATGAATAGATGCATCGACAACTCTTGTCCGGCGAGAGGTTCGGCATTGTCAGCGACAGCTTCAGTGCCGAGGTCGTTGTAGCGAAGGTGGATGTCGTGACGCTCCAACTGTAACACCTCAGTCAAGTAGTCCCTGACGTAGTCCTTGATGTTGTCGTAGTTGAAGTTGCTCATCTCAAGGTTGAACTGACGTCTCTGTCCGAACTGCTCCAAGACGATGATAGCAACCGAGTTCTGCAGTCCAGCATCGTCATAGTGGAAGAGGTCAACATTCACGATGAAGCCCAAGTCCTCGTCGGCAACCTCCGAGGCAAAGTCCATGAGTTCATCATACTCTCCAAGTTGACGACCGTCCACCTCAAAGGTGAGTTGAAACCAAGGCAGGTTCAACCGGCCACTGGTGCGGAACAGTAAGTTGAACACAATGGTCTCGGGCTCCTTGAAGTGGAAGAGATGCTCCTGTTCCTGAAACTTCACCACCACAGTGAAGTGAGGCACGTGATGACTGTCATCGTCATCTGGGTCTTCGTCTGGGTCGTCGTTTGGATGGTCAGAACCGTCTTTGTCTTCTTCACGTCCTCCTCCTTCCTTGTCATCGCCATTGGCAGAGAGAACAACCACCGAATAAGATGAAGGAAGCGACGACTTACCCATCTCGTTCTCCACCAGTGCCTTCATTCCCATTCTCTCCAAAACTTCCCAGATTGTCTGGTTCTCCTCACGTTGTTCACGCAACTGTCTTGGCACCCGCTGTGTCCAGTGCTCCTTCTTGGTGCCCTTGACACCAAGCGATGAGGACGACATTGAGCAGTCGAAACTCAGGACTAAGCCAATCTCAACCTGACTAAACTCCTACTAGAAACATTGCGAGAGATAAAAGGTCAAGTCAATGTCATCAAGTCAATGTCGTCAAGTCAATACCACCAAGTCAATACATGACAAACAAGCAAACTGCGAATCTAAAGGTTTCAACCGTCAATCTGAAGGTTCAATCGACTCATCTCTCTTTTCCATCTTCCTCCCGCTGCGCATGCCATGAGCGAAACCTAACATTCTAATCGCCACATGCTTTCGAACCAAAGCGGTCTATCGCTCAAGCAGGTCATTTGGAACATAGACGAAGCACTTCAGTCCTCATCGTCGCTCTCCTCATCATCCACCTCATCGTCCTCCTCATCGATGGGGACGTCCGTGCGACGGTCAAAGTCAGGGAACTGGAAGGTCTCAGGGTCAAAGTTGGCACGCTCCACTGCGACAACTCTGGGATTGGCACCGAGCAACGCCGAGGTGTTGTAGATGAAGGCACGTGGTGGGAGCACCGTGCCGGCGTCATCCACAATGAGAAGGTCATCCTTCTTCATTCCACCCTTCTTACCATAGGTGGGATAGAGAGCGCTCCTGCGGACAAACTTGCTCTTCATCCTCCCCACCGTCTTGGCTTTCTCAAGGTTGATGGAATAGACACTCATGGAGGGAATAGAGCAGATGACCACTGTGGTAGAACCAGTCTTCTTGATTGCCAACGCGTCCGCTTTCGCCTGTGCCTTCGCCACCGCCTTTGCTTTGGCGTGTGCCTGTGCCTGTTGCTGAGCATTCTGGGCACGACGTTCATTCAAGAAAGACGTCCTCATCTGGACAGCTTGAAGTTCTACCTGAAACTCAGTGTCCAATGCATTCACTTCGTCTAAGGTCATGCCCTCCACTTGAGCAATCAACTGAAGCATCTCTGGAGAGAGCTCATTCTGCTCATATCCGCCACCGACGACAATCTGCTTTGGTGCCATTGCTTGAAAGGTCAGTGAGAGATCTCAATCCAAGTTGGGTCTTGACACAAACAGCTAAACGAAATCGATCAGTAAGTCAGTCAATGAAATCGTCAACTTGCATCAAAAGGTGTCTTCAATCTGTCAAATGTTATTCCTTCTCAAACAGTCATCGCTCTGAGTGTCCCGACCAAAACAAGGATGAAGACGATGACCACGTAGTCGTGGCACGACCGAAGGGCGGACAAAACCGATGTCGAAACAAATACACCACCAACGCCCCAGAACTTGATAACTACTAAAAGGGCTACCTCCTTCAAATGAAAAAAATGTCGGCCCCCAGCCCAACAATGAACAAGGCAACAAAAACCCAAATGTTCCACCTCTAACAAAACGATAAATAAGCTCCCCAAAAACCCTCTTTTAAAAACGAATAAGGAGGTTAATAGGTTTGAGATGAATATAAAAACCATAACAGGCAACCATCAACAGACCTTCCCCCAGGGCCCCCCTTTTCTCCATTTTTTCCCCCCCCCCCGAGACATGATCATGGGTTTTGCAGTTTTTGCTTGAGTGCTGAGTGGCAGAGCTAAGCAGCAGCAGGCAGGCAAACTACTGGCACTACCACTGAGCCAGCAGATGAGCTCAGTTCGTTTGAGTCAGACTGTGGCTTCCAGTTCTGCGAAATTGGCTCTGCCATCTGTTGCTGTAGAGCTTGGGTGGCAGAGGAAGCAGGCAGGCAAACTCATGAGACTGCAGCGCCGTGTCAGAAGCAGTTGTGCCCCAAACACTGCGCTCACGAGACTGCAGCGCAGTGTCAGGAGCAGTTGTGCCCCCAACACTGCGCTCACGAGACTGCAGCGCAGTGTCAGGAGCAGTTGTGCCCCCAAAACTGCGCTCACAGACTGCAGCAGTGTCAGAAGCAGTTGTGCCCCCAAAATCTGTGCTCACGAGATTGCAGCGCAGTCACAGAAGCAGTTGTGCCCCCAACTGTGCTCACGAGACTGCAGCCCAGTGTCAGGAGCAGTTGTGCCCCCAAAACTGCGCTCACGAGACTGCAGCAGTGTCAGAAGCCAGGTTTCATTTTTTCAACCTCTTAGCATGAAAATCAGCGACCCGGGTTCCAGCACACTTGTTATTGCTTACGCCGGCGCAAAGGCTGACCTTGAGAAAAAGCTTCACATATTCACCAAGGGAGGGAAACATATTTTTCCTATTCGAAAGGTGCCTATTGATTGGGGACGGGCTGTGCTAAATTAAGAGTTTTCAGGAAAGAATCCGGAAGGATGAGTTGGCTGTTTGTTGAAGGAGTTTGCACTTGGAGTGAAAAGCGGCAGAGACCGTGTCCCATCAATTTGCAAAGCAAAATAATCAGCGAAAGGCTGGGGACGTGGCCGCACGCCAGCAACTCCGGCCAGGTATGCGCGCGCGCGCGCAGATCCCGGCGTCCCGGCGTCCCGGCGCAGCGTCCCGGCGTCCCGGCGTCCCGGCATCCCGGCCCATGCAGTGTCCCGGCGTCCCGGCGTCCCGGCGCAGTCCCGGCGTCCCGGCGTCCCGGCGCAGTGTCCCGGCGTCCCGGCGCAGTCCCGGCGTCCCGGCGCGCCGCCTTTCCCGAATAGCAATTCATTATATCCGGAAAAGGCTCCAGGCTTTCAACGATTCGGGAAAGGCTCCGGCCAGGTATGATCGCGCGCAGATCCCGGCGTCCCGGCGTCCCGGCGCAGTGTCCCGGCATCCCGGCGCAGTGCCCGGCGTCCCGGCGCAGTGTCCCGGCGTCCCGGCGCAGTCCCGGCGTCCCGGTGTCCCGGCGCAGTGTCCCGGCATCCCGGCGTCCAGCCAGGCATGCGCGCGTGGGATCTGCGTCCCGGCGTCCCGGCGCAGTGTCCCGGCGTCCCGGCGCAGTCCCGGCGTCCCGGCACGGCGTCCCGGCGCAGTGTCCCGGCACAGTCCCCGGCATGTCCCGGCGTCCCGGCGCAGTCCCGGCATGTCCCGGCACAGTGTCCCGGCGTCCCGGCGCAGTCCCGGCGTCCCGGCGCAGTGTCCCGGATCAAGCCGAAATGAGTCCCTACTGGAAGAACAGTCCGGCTGATCTCATGTTTCCTCCCTCCACCTGGTTGATCCTGCCAGTAGTTATATGCTGATCTCAGGGTTGGCAGGGTGGGTTTGGCAGGGGCGGGTTTAGCAGAGTGGGTTTGGCACGACCATTAGGGAAAATTGCTGTCTGCCAGTTGACAGGCCGCAGAGGGCGCGCGCGCGGGACCGCGCTGCGCGGCCATGGCCGGAGCCTTTCCCGAATAGCAATTTAAAGGCCGCAGCCTTTCCCGAATACCAAGTACCTTTCCCAAACGGCCGTTCAAAGCCCAAAGCCTTTCGCAAATAGCAACGCAAAGGCACGATCTTTTCCCGAATAATTAGCAACTCAACGGCTGCAGCCTTTCCCGAATATCAATTCAATGGCCAGAGCTTGTCCGAAAATAGCAATTTAAAGGCCGGGGTCGGCTCCCAGGAGTTGCTAATTATTCGACAAAAGCGTTGGTCGCCGAATTGCTATGCGGGAATCGGAAAGGCTCCAGCCGAAACAATCCTGGTCAGTGCTCTCCCAAAATGTGTGTCCAAAACGGAGCCACCTTGCTTGGCATGGGCTTGAGAGCAGAGCGCGGCTCGCCATTCCTGTACGATTAAAGCTGGCTCCGTTTTGGACACACCCTTCAGACGCAAAAATGAGCTTGTGCTGGATTCCAGCCCACATCCAACTGCCCAGATGTCCCCGAGTCGTTGCCGGGCCTCAAGGATTTTTCTCGCTGATGCAACACGAGTAGCCTTTGTAACGCTTCCCAGGAAGGCGTGTCCAAAACGGAGCCGCTTTCTGGCATTGAAACAAAGGCTCCGTTTTGGACACAGCTTCAAAAAGCAAGAAGTCAGCGAGCACTGATATCCACAAAGCAAGACAATAACTCGACGCACCTCCGTCGATAGCCCCGAGTCGTTGTGTGTCCAGAGCCTAGTTTTCCTTTCTACGCGACAATTCTTTTAATGCTCTCCAAAACGGTGTGTCAACATAGTCCAAAACGGAGCTGCCTTACGCCTGAGAGGGAAGCACGGCTTGCCATTCTCGCATGATTAAATTTGGCTCCGTTTTGGGCACACCCTCCAAACGACAAAATAAGCTTGCGCGGACACCCGGATAACAAGAGTGCGACTCCAGGTCACGTCCAACTGCCCAGATGTCCCAAGTCGTTGCCGGTCCTCAAGGATTTTCCGCTGAGCACTACTGGGGGTGCACGGTGAGAAGGCGCACCTGCTGAAGCGCTAGCGACGCCTCCCACGATGAAGCGGGCGGCGGGCGCACGCTAAAAGAGTGCGCCTGCATGAGCGGTAGAGACGTGGCCCAGCCCTGCTGAGGCAGATGCACGCAGGCCAACTGCAACGTGCACCCGCTTGAGCGGTCGCGGCGTCACTAGCGCTTAAGAGGGTGCACACTTTTAGCGTGCACCCGCTTAGCCGTACCAAGGTGCCCGCTTAAGCGGTAGGCGCTCCCATAGCGCTTAAGCAGCCTGTTTTTTGCTTAGTAAAATCCAATTGCCTGGGCGCACCCGCTTGAGCGGTGGTGGCGTCGCTAGCGCTTAAGAGGGCGCACCCTTTTAGCGTGCACCCGCTTAAGCGGTTGCGGCGTCACTAGCGCTTAAGAGGGTGCACTCTTTTAGCGTGCACCCGCTAAGCCGTACCAAGGTGCCCGCGTAAGCGGCAGGCACGCCCATGGCGCTCAAAGAGCCGTGCCCTTTTAGCATGCACCCGCTTAACCGCGGGAGGCACCGTGAGCGCATAAGCAGCTGACCACGGTCCTGGCGCCTCAACGCCCGGCAGGCTGACCAGTTGACCTTGGTCCCAGCGTTTACTTGGGAAGGCTAGTAAACCACGGTCCTGGCGCCTCAGCAACCACCAGGCCAGCCGGCTGACCTGTCAAAGCAAAAAATTTGGCCGGCCTTCGGCCGGCCTGGCCCAGTTGTTCAGTGACACCCTTTTCCCCTTTTTGGCGGGTTGTCCACTCAAAAAAATCAGGCGACCCCTAAAAAGGGCGCCCTTTCTCTATTTTACGGGCCACTGGGCAACTAGGCAACTCTCAACTCTCGGGTTTGATTCCGTCATTGTTTTGTTTTCTGGATGCTGAAATAATTGGTTGGCCTTTGTCCGGCCTTGTTTTTCTACAATCCTAACCGGGAGGCGCCATGAGCGTAAGCATGCAGGCCGGCCAGTTGACCACGGTCTTGACGCCCACCGCCCAGCAGGACACCCCACCGCCCAGCAGGCTAGCCTTCTTGTGCGCAACCGCCTATAAGCGGGGGAGGCGTCGCTAGCGCTTCAGCAGGTGCATCTTCTTACCATGCACTCCCCGTAGTTGCTCTCCCTGAAGCCTGCCAGCTGCGCGCAAGAAGGGAACACAAGTGTTTCCCCCCGATCCAAGCAATTGTGTTTGTGTGTGTGAATGAACCGCATCGTTCGGCCAGATTCGACCATGCTTTCAGCGAATCTGGCTCACGGCGAACTGCTGACTACCGAACCCTTCGGAGGAGAACCGGGCCTTCACTTCAGGAGTTCTTTTTTGTCTACACCCGCTTTCTTTGGTACCCAATTCCAAATGTTTGGTGATGCGTGAAACCCAGGCTACTCTGACATATGCATGGAGGTTGCCATGAACACACCACGCCGCATCCTGGCGCATGTAGCCCAGTGCTACGGCAGCAGCACACACGTGCTCCTCAACTTTGTTCTTCGGAGATGCCGCCTAGCCGCGGAGCACGGAGCAGCATCTCAGTCCATGCCTTCCAACCACCGGTCTTACTTCGCCCACTCTAGCGTTGCGATGATGCGGGCTGAGCCGGCTGAGCAGCCTTTTTCCAAATCTAATTAAGGCCGCTTCCTCTGCAAGCGCCCCCGCGGTCTCTTCTGTGAAGCCTGCTCGCTTCACAAGTATATTTTGCAGCGCCCGCGCAAGATGATCCGTGGTAAGTAGGCCCATGACGAGCACCCAGAACATAAAGAATGTGGCTGTCTTCCAATGCAATGGCCGCCTGCTGCTCGCGCGCTGGCTGGCTCTCATGGCAAGCGCGTGAATCGCAATCCTCACACGATAGTCACAACCAAGCCATTGCATAGATTTGAGCCAGGCCGAGCAGGGCGCAATCGCCAACACCAAATGCAACATGCCATGAGCGCATTGTAGTGTGAAGCCAGCAGAGTGGTAGCTACGCCTGCCCAGAAGCACACGCAACTTAGCCAACGGCAGGCAGTGGTTCCAGCTTTTGCCTCACTTTGTGTGTGTGTGTGTGCGCGCAGGATGCGCGCATGCTGGTCCGTCTTTTTTGTTGCAATCCATGAGAGTGGGTTCTGTTTTGGAGACTGTCGCAGCGAGAAAAAGTGAGCATGCGCTGCTACCCGCGCAGCAAGAGCAGCATTCCTTGCACGGTTCCCCCAATTGATGCATGCCGTGAACGGAGCTCTCCTCTCCTCTGCAACGCTGCTATAGCCTGCGCGCTCGCCCCTGCAAAGGTGTGCCCAGTTCCAAAACAGGCAAGCACCCTCTCTGAAACGGGGTGTGTGCGACCCCATCTCGCATCTCCAGATGCCCCTCCGTCCCTCCAGCCAGTTTTGCGTATGCAACAGCCTATAGCACAGCTGCGCGCAGGGCGTGCGTGCGCAGAAACGCCCAGTCGTTCCAAAAAGTTTCCTCGCTTACAGCGCAAACTTTGAAAAGCTATCCGTGCACGCACGCCCACCATCGTGCAGTTCTTTATGTGCCACACCTGTGTACAAGCTGAGAAGCTTCGATGAGGACATGCGGCGATCGAGGGGCATTTGGAGCCCCGCTGCGCACGCGCACCTTGCGTGCCAACCAACACTCTGTGGAAACCAAACCTAATCTAGGTTGTTGCAACATCGAGGACAGGTTCGTTGAGGACAGGAAGCGGTCGGGGGGCATCTGGGGCTGTGCGCGCGCAGTGCCTCAGTACTATTTGAGCCAGACCCATGTGCAGCCTGGTTGTGTGGCAACACTGAAGAAAGATTTGTTGAAGACATGGAGCGATCGGGGGGCATTTGGGGATAGTGCGAGCGCTGCACGCCTTCCCAGCGGCGCGCGGTTCCTGCTTTTTTTGCCGCGGCAAATGTCGACTAAGTGCTTTGCGTTGCCCCTTTTTAAGCCCGTTACTCAGCAGCATTGGCGTTGAACGCTTTCTGTTCAGGCAATGGGGGCACACTTTTGCTTTGAAGGCTGGCTGCTGTGACACCTGCGTCGCCCGGAACCGGGCACCCCTCATTAAAAGTGAAACAAAGTGTTCTGGCCGAGTTCTTCTGTAATACTCGAGGTTGATTGCCTCTTCGAAAGGATTGCAAAGAAGGAATCTTGAACCCACATTCCAAGAAAAACAGACTATCCTAAATAAAAACACCGAATAGCGCCGTTCAAGGCTTGGTATAACGCAATGGCAAAATTAAGCGAAGAGCAGCTGTGGGTGACCAGGCCAAGGAGAACATGTGGCTGGCGGTTGCAAGCATGGATATTAAAACCTCCGAGAAACACGGCGGACGCACGCCCAACCCAAGCCGCGTCCAGTTCACACACGCACACAAAGCCCGTTAATTGGTTGAATGCTGCGGGACTTCTTGGTGTCCTTGGGGCAGATCGACAAACATCCGCAGATCTTGCTGTGAAGCAAAGGCCGTTGATGCGCCGCAAGTGTCGGCAGAAATTGCCTGAGAAAGCAAAAGCCTTCTGCGAAGTATTGGCAGCTGAGGTATATAGGCTAGCGCAACGCGAAAAACTGCTTCCAAGATTTAAACACGTGTTTTACAACGCTTCCCCGCTGACTCCGCCAATGCGCTGACTATTTTGCTTTGCTGTCGTCTCTGCCACTTTTGATGCCAAGTCAACCAACTCATCCTTCATGACTCCTTCATGGAAATCCTTGATTTAGGGCAGCCCGTCCCCATACCAATCAACGGGCGCCTTCACGGAAGCTTTTGGCACAATTTCAAGTTGGCCGGCCAAGCCTGCAGCCCGATGGCCGTACTGTGCAGGGGCCAGAGGGCGGGGGGAGGGCGGGGGGGAGGGTAGGGCACACGGACCACTGGAACATCGAAAAAATGAGACCTGTCAGAAGCAGTTGTGCCCCCAAAAACTGTGCTCACGAGATTGCAGCGCAGTCACAGAAGCAGTTGTGCCCCCAACTGTGCTCACGAGACTGCAGCCCAGTGTCAGGAGCAGTTGTGCCCCCAAAACT